TCTCTGCCAATAATTTTAACCATTGCTTTTATTTTTTGGGCTCAAGAGTGGTAGAAGGTCGAGGACTGATATCGTGACTCTTAGCATCTTATGGCATGGGTCTGGTATTGGGTACCACAAGCTCCACTATTTCTACACCTAACGGGTTGCAACCTTTAGCAGAGTTTGATTTTCTTTCTAGCAGACGTGTCACCACAACCCAGTCTTGCCCCAGCCACTGTCTTGCATTTTTGTACAAGAGGCATTGCTCTAAGCTTCAGGCAAAGGCATACTGGGCTTCATTGGTAGATGTGTTGTCAGCCTGACAAGGAAAGTGATTCTTCCCCTCTATTCAGCATTAGTGAGGAGCCCTGTGTTCAGTTTTGGGCCCCCCACTCCAGAAAGGATGTGGACAAATTGGAGGGAGTTCAGTGGAGGGCAACAAAAGTGGTTGTGGGGCTGGGGGACAGGACTGGTGAGGAGAGGCTGAGGGAACTGGGCTTATTGAGTCTGCAGAAGGGGAGATTGAGAGAGGATTTAATACCAGCCTTCAGCTCCCTAAAGGGTGGTCCCAAAGAGGATGGAGTGGAGCTGTTCTCAGTGGGGGCAGATGGCAGAACAAGGCACAATGGGCTCCAGTTGCAGCAAGAGAAGCTGAGGTTGGTGTGACAGAACACCCTTTTGGGTGTCTGCCACTTTAAGGGCTGGAGCAGGGAGCTGCCAGGTGGGAGGAAGCATCACCCTGCTGATCTGTGGCTCCAGCAGCAACTTGGAGGTAAGGATGGGGCTATGGGAGGGCTCATTGGTCCTGGGCATGACCTAAAACTGTGCCCTGCCAGGATAGGGAGGCCAGGGGGGATTGCCAGTGGCGCAGCAGCCCTATATAAATACCAGGACTGCTCATCTCCCTGGTGAAAGGTGGATTGGGGTGCCTTAATTACCTCTGCCCCCACGTTTGGGTGGGTTATGAGGAGGGTAAAAGGTGAAGCACCTGTGCCTGTAGGGGTGCAAGACTCCGAGTCCTGAGAGCAGCAGGGCAGAGCAGTGGGGCCAGTTAAGCTCAGGGCGGAGAGGCTGAGTCCCAAGAGGGTGTTCAACCCCAGGCCACAATAAGAAGAGCAGTGTGTTTGCCCAAAGGGACAGGAATAAGGAATGGTGCGGTGAGGGTGTAGCAGAAAGCCCCCTTTCCCTCTTGCCTGCATTTGCTCTCCCCTCTTTGAATGTGTTTTTCCTCTTCTACCTTTTTCTTTCACTTTAAGATAAGGAATTGTGTTTTAAAATGTGTATGTGCGCATTTTGTATCTCCCCTTGTAGTTTGGTATTTTTATCTATTTGTGTGCCATGGCATTTGTAGCTTATATTTTATACTCCTCACCTTTCAACTTTCAACTGTAAATGTGTTTAGTAACAATGTTAACAAGGGCAGGAGTCAAACTGCTGCTTCCCTGTAACAGGCGGGCCCCTGAAAGAGCGAGTGAATCAGTGATTGAATGTGTAACACGGTAGCAGACAGCAATTAACAGCTAGGGAAACCGCAGATCAACCAGCGGAAGAAGTCAATAGAAGACACTGTAACAACCGGGAAATCTCTAAACGTCACTGTTCAAGAGCTAGAAGCCCTGGTCTGAGTTAAACAATGCTGGGGACCAACTTTTGGGATGAATATCTCCACATCGACCGCTCCCAGAGCCCTATTGAAAATTCATCAATGGACTCCCAAACCTGCACGTACATGTGGATGACCCCTGGGGCTGACAGATGCCATAGAGTAGCCACCGAGGGGGAAGTCCCATGAGGGTCAACGACCCCTGGATTGCGCAAACCTGAAAACTGGGGAGTCACCAAAGTCTGCCAAGGACAGATAAAAAGCAGTGAAAAGTGACCCTCAGTGGCGCCCTCTTGATCTCCAACTCGACCAGCACCCGACCTGTCCAGCCAGAAGGACCAGCCGGCAACCCCCTTCTGGAAGATAACACCACACTGAAAAAAGCCTCGACGGCAGACTCCAGCACCTGTGGGATAGGTATACCTGAGTCTTGTAGCTTGCTACTGTCTGGGTGTGCATGTGTGCATGTGTGTGGGGGGGGGGGACCAGCCCCAAGGTTTATGATTTAAGTTCATTACAGAGTTTCAATCCGCCTAATAAACCAGAATTTTAAGGATCCCGAGTTGGACATTTGTAGCCAACAAAGGCATAGGGCTGAGAGAGGCTGGAGTGGGGTGGGGTGAATCAATGGTCACTGTCCAGATGAGGGTTTCAGAAGACCCAAAAGGCTGGGCCAGGGCTGTCTGACGTATGAGTGGACAAGCCTGAGGATCTCTGCGGAGTAGGGCGGTGGGAGTGTGGCCTGGATAGGCTATTTGTAAGAGACCTGTGTGAGAGAGGGATGGAGCATGACAGGCCCTTGTGAAAGGGGGGAAATAAGAGAGAGGGCCAAGTGGGGCATATGTGAGCAGCCTTACAAGGGACTATATTCAACCTGGCTGCAAGCCAGAGATGTTTATGTTTATAGCATGATATCTGCAAAGCATGGGACATGCATAGGGATGGTTGGAGCATGTATATCTGGCCCTTGACACCAGGACGGATCAAAGGGCAGCCTCCCACCTAATAACATTAGAATAATATGACACCAAGGCATGGCAGGCGAAAGAGGCGGGTGTTTTGCCCAGAGAGAGGGGCGGGGCCATACTAGCACTAGGCCTGGAAATTGTTCTTGTCACAGTTGGATATTAGGAAGAATTTTCTCACTAGGCGGGTAGCAAAACACTGGAACATGTTACCCAGAGAGGTGGTGCAATCTCCACTCTTGAAGTATTTTAAGACCTGGCTAGACAAAGCCTTGGCTGGGATGATGCAGTTGGGGCTGGTCCTGCTTTGAGCAGGGGTTGGACTAGATGTGACCTCCTGAGGTCCCTTCCCATCTGAAATTTCCGTGACTCTATGACTCAGCTCTGGGGACCTGGAGTTGATTCCTCTTCCCCTGCAGCCAGTCTGGCTTCCACTCCAGGCAAACTTGCTGCTGGGGGCCTGGGTGTGGCTGCCAGGGGACTGGACCCTGTCTTGCATGCCCTAGACTTGTGAAGACGGCTAACGCCATTGGACATTCCCCACCCAGCCCCTGTCCACTATAAGCGACAGCCAGTGACTTGGGATTCCTGACAGCCTCACACCCTTGGTGCCAGTGCTGTCACCATGAGTGGGATCCTGTCTCTCTTCTTTCCATAGGTCCACGCTGATATTTCCTAAACACTTTACCACGGGCTAACATAGGCTGTGTCTAACCACTTATCTGAGATTGAGTCAACATACACCAACCATGTGCCTACATAGGTGCAAGGCATGGGGTCCTGTATCATCTTCCAACTCTACCGAGCCATGCAATAAAGGTAATGTTAACATTTCCTCAATTAAGTTTTCAGTATGTTTGGTCACTTCTCGTTCTGGCCTCTGAACTGGGACCAGCAGCTGGGCTTTCGGGGCTGTGTCCTGAGCCGAGCCCAAGTCATCCTTCACAGGACCCCAGGCCCAGAACACCGACACCCGCAGAGGAAGCCATGGGAGCAGCCCAGTATGTGGGCTCCTGCCGCTGGTCTCCATGGCAGAGAACAGATACATGGGGTCGTTGGCGATATCCTTTGTTGGACTAACTGTGTTGTTGTGAGAGAGGCTTAACAAGCCCCCAAAACTCTTCTTGCATGTTTCCTGGACCATCACGGCTTGAGGAGAGCACCTGAAATGACAGCTGGGGAATAGCTGGAAGAACAGGGATTATTTATCTTGGAGAAGGGAAGACTGAGGGGCATTTGATTGATCTTCAGAGTAAAGAGGAAGGCAATCTCCTGTTCTTTGTTCACAGAGGATAGTGCAAGAAACAAGGGGATAATAGCAGCAGGCATGATCCCAGTGTGATACTAGGAAGACCAGTGTGATATTAGGAAGACGTTTCTAACTTGGAGGACAGCTGAGCAGCAGAAGAGCTGACCTAGGAAACACTGAGCTGGGTCCTTGCAGGAGCTGGCAGGTTTGAAAGGCAGGTTAGACTAACGCACGTGTGAGCTCAGGATGATCTGCCTCAAGCAGGGGGCTGGACTATGTGGGACCCCTGGACACCTTCCAGCTCCATTTCTGGGGTTTTCTCCCACTCTCGCTGCTGCAAACAACTCTGGCACTAACCACCCACAACCCTGCGCACTCTCCACTGCCCCACGCACACCATAACCTCTTCTCCCTTCCTATCCACACAGTTCACTCGACGGCAAGGTGAGCCTCTGCAAGTGCCAAACCACCCCGACTGCCCCCTCTTCACATCCCTTGGGATTTCCACCCTGAACTCCTTCGTCCCCACAAAACTACTTAACTTGCACCTCTCCCCTCTCCAGGGCCTGGAACAAAGCTGCAATAAGCTCCAGCTTCAGTGTCTGCTGTGCTTTGCTCCATCCCAGGAGGCGGAAGTGCTGCCGAAGCACCAGGGTCCTGCATGAAGCACCCATTGATTCACACAGTAACTGAACAGGCAAAGCTAGCAGTAACCTACCCCTGTTTGAGCAATGAGGGAGGTTTGTATGGCTCAGCTCGACAAAGCCTTGGCTGGGATGATGCATTTGGGGCTGGTCCTGCTTGGAGCAGGGGGGTTGCACTAGATGTGACTTCCTGAGGTCCCTTCCAGCCCTCCTTGTCTATGATGCCCTGACTCTAGCCAAGCAGAGAGCCCCCAACGTTTTTCTTGTGTACACCAGGGACAAGCAGGCACAACAAGGGGCCAGCTCTCTTCTAGACAGTGATTTGGGCAGGGGGCTTTGCAGAGCAAGGAGAAGTGCTCAACAGAACATGAGGTCTAATGAGCTTCTGGCTAATGACTCATCAATGAAAGAAATAAAATCAAAAGGGGATCTACACTGGCTTCCTAGTGTGGATGCAACACCCAAGCACCTGGTCAAGGATCTCCTGAAAAAGAGCACAGTCAAGGGACTGCTTGGTTCATGGGGTTTTTATTTGTAACTGTACAAAGAAAGCCAAATAGTACAGAAAAATCACAGCCTGTTACAAATCCCCTCCCCAAGGGAAAAAAAAAAATTTCCTGATAAAGGCACATACATGGCAGGCTCCACCACCCCCCGGATGGACGTGGCCTGGAGCCTGCAAACAGCAACCTTCTCCAACAGAAAAGCTCCAGCCGCATCTTCCGGCAGCTCCTGAAAACTGTATTTCATTCATTGCCTCGTTTGTGCAAAGCATCCCTTTCCTGGACATTTCCTGGGGCTCTTTGCAGATCCGCTTGAGATGGGGCCTGAGGGAATCTCCCTGGTGCTGGATCCAGCAGGATCTCCTCCTCCTCTGGAGAGTGGCACCAGGCTGAAGAAAGGCAAGTATCTAAAATCTCCCGTTTACGCTGTGTGGGCACAGGGCCACTCAGGGCAGGGGCAGGGGCAGTGACTTTCCACCTCTTCCGCTAATCAAGGCCGAGCGAGGGGCACAGCCCCTGGGGCTGCCATCCATGGGATCTCCCCTTCCCTGATGAAATGGGCATCCGGCTCTCCTCTCTGCCAGTCTGTGCCAGTGCTATCAACTCCGGTGGCATCATGGTAGAGGGGAACAGGGCCTGGGGCACAGCACGCTGGTGCTGGGGGCACGGTGAGGGCTTTGGAGGCTGGGCAGAGTCCTGTGCCGCTCTTGCGGACACCACTCCTCACCCTGTTGTCTCCGCGTGGGGGATGCTCCTCAGCAGGGCTGTGCGGGAGCAGTGGGTAGCGCACCAGGTGTGCCTGGGGGGTTGGGTTCCTGCCCAGCTGCTTGGTGGTGTGTGCAGGGCCACTCCAGACTGGGGCCAGCCCTGCAGACCCAGGCCCACCTCACCCGGGGCGGGATGAACTACCTGTGGCCCTGGGCTGTGTGGTAGAAACACAGCCTGGTGAGGTGCAGACTTGCCTTCCTCCATCACCCTGTCTCCAACTCCCTGCACAAGCACTCCCCCCCACTTTGCACACCTCTAGCTGGCATGGTGGAGCCCTTTGGGCCAGCCTGACCCCTGGTCCCTGGCCCCTGGCCCTAGCCGGTCCATCCAGCAGCCCTGAGCAGGACCCAGACCTGATCGTGCATGTCTGAGCTTCTCAGGCTGTGCATGCACACACGGGCACACTCACACCGCCACATCCCTCCACCTGCAGCTCCCCGCTCCATGGCTGACATCCTCACACCCGCGCCCTGCCTGGGGCCCACACAGCTCGGCCTCTCGCTCACGCCGCGCTGCCCCAGCCGAGTCTAGATGCTGTGCCGACGGTTGTTGATCATAGACACGATGTGGGTTAGGTCCAAGCTCTTCATCATCACCTCCATGAACTCCTCGTCCTTTCGGGCTCCTTCCACAAACTCATCCAGCGACAGCTCCCCTGGGGGGGTGGGATAGAGAGATGCTCAGGGATGCTCAGACCCAGGGAAACCCCTCGTTCCACCCCAAATTAGTGATTCCTGTGCAAAGAAGCACTGGGCAGTCTGCCTGGCCTGGCCTGCCCTGTACCTCAATCCCCTCCGGCCCCAGCCCCCCTTGTCCTGTGTCTGCAGTGATATTATCCTTTCATCTGTGCCCTCTCAATGACACCACAGAGCCCCGGGGGCACCTCGCTGTCCGTGTCCCTGCTCCGGGAAAGTCTGGAGCACCCAGTGATAGTCCAGTCCTGCCTCTCCTGGCTGCTGTGACAGGCTTAGGAAGGAGCAGGTCTTGGCAGGGGTGCTTCTGTCCCTACGCTGCCCCGAATTTCCTCCGCAGCCATGGACAGTGCTGCTATGCCAGATGAGCGGCTCAAGCCCCAGGTTGTTTCAAGATGGGGATGGACAGACAGGCAAGACAGACACCGTAGCGCGTGGTTTCGCCCAGGGTGGCAAAGCAGAGAGAAGGAAGGGAAGGGGCTGAGCATTCAGCTCTGCGAGCTCGTGCAGGGGCAGAAGGGGCAGCCTCATTTCAGAAGAGATATATGCAGTATACATGGGGCAAGCTCAAGACCGAGGCACGCAGGAGGCAAAGGAGGCTGCAGGATGGGCTCCGGCAGCTCCTCGGGACGGGGGCTGGAGTCTCACCATCGCCGTTGACATCAATCTTGTCGAAGACGCGGTTGGTGAACTCCTCCGCGCTCGTCTCATGGTCGCAGCCGTTGATTGCTCGGATAGCCTGGGAGGGAAAAGTGTGGGGGAATGACCGGCCTGTGGTTTGGTGCAGGGGGTAAGAGGCTGAGCAAAGCACCTGTCTCCGGGGCAGGTCAAAAATGTAAGTTCAACACGGGCTCGGTGCAAGCAAAAGCCCTTTGCGCACTTGGAGAGCTACTCCGGAGCTGCAAAACACTAGCCCCAGCTCTTGTGTGAGCAGGTCACTGCCAGCCCCACGGCTCTGGGGCCCTACGTCTGTGAGTCCACCTGCTGCTCCCGCATTACTAGGCTTGTTGGAGCAAGTCAGGGAGCAGCAGCTCACTGGGGTCTGCCTGCCCGGAGGGGGAGGCCAGCCTGACAGGTGCATACACAGGCCAGGGGTAGGGACAACCTGCAGCATCGCAGGGACCTGGCAGGGTCCTTCCTGGTGCACGCCCAGAGACCACGTGAACGTGTGACACGGGGACGGGCAGCCGCAGCCGTGCCAGCCCCAGGGCGGTTGGTCACCTTAATGATGTTGAGCAGCTCGTGCCGGTCGATGCAGCCATTGCCGTCCACATCATAGAGCTTGAAATACCAGCGCAGCTTTTGCTCCATCTTCCCCCGAAGAACGAGGCTGAGCGCGGCCACGTATTCCATGAAATCGATATATCCGTCCTGCAAGGGAGAGAGGGAGTGTGAGAGCCGGGGCGGCTGGGGGAGCCGTGGCTCTGGGGCCTCTTTGCAGAGGCAGGGTGCAGGCAGAAGCAGCTACAGCTTTGTCGGGGCCTGGGGACCTGTCTGCATCCAGACCAGGTCTCCGCTCCTTGGGTCTGTGGGATTAAACCTCCACAACACTCCCTGCAGGTTTGGTGCAGCCTGAAGACACGCTGTGAGCAGCAAATGCAATTCTGCCTGCCCAAACAGGAGAAAAAATATGCCTCTTGCTCCATGTCCTGTCCTGGCTAATGCACCCTTCTCACCACGCAGAGACCTCTGATTGTCTGAGCTCCTTGCAGACTTCGCTGATCTTCGCTGCACCCCTCAGAGGGCAGGAAGCTAGCAAAGTCCTCTGTGCCAGCGTGGAAGAAAAGAAACCACATATCCATGTAATCCCTGGAGGGAGATAAGGTCGGGGTTACAGGCAGGATGCAGGATTTCTTAGCTACCCTACCAGGCTTGTGATGAAAATAAACGTGAAAAAAAAGGAATCGCCTCAACCCCCAGCACAGATTCAACCAAGCGCCAGCTACTTGGACGGCTTCGCTGCCATGCATTATCTTGCTGACCCCAGATGACTTCCTGCCCCTTGGGCAGGGGCTGGACCCGATGATTTCGGGAGGTCCCTTCCAGCCCTGACGTCTATAAAATCTATGCTTTGCTGTGACTGACGTTTGGTGCACAGCTACCGGCAGCTGTAGGGCTCTGTGTTAAGAGGCAGGTTCCCCAGGGTGGCTGACAATACTTTTGGTCCAGGCCCTACACCACATCCACGCTGCTGACCGAGCCTACCGCTTGTGGGCGCGTGCCTTTGGCCAAAGACTGCGCCGTGGCTGCGGGTCTGTGGGGTGCTTTCCTGCACCCCCCGTGTCCTCTCTGTCGTGGTCAGGTTGTGATGCACCCAGCTGCACCCATAGGCTGCTGGCTCCGGGCTGTGGGCAACGTGGGGGAGAGCAGTGTGAATGCACAGGGCTGGAGCTACACGGCACCTACATACAGCTGGCCTGAGAGCCCGTGTTGACTGCACAGAGATAGACACGGGTCCGTGGTGCCTGCACAGGGCCAGAATAGTGCATTGATGGACCCCGGCGACAGCGATCTGGCAGAGGAGCGGCTATTACCCATCCCTTCCCTTTGGGCTCATCCCTCCAGGAAGGGGTCATGTCATTTTAACCCTCAGCTCTTGCCTCCCTCCGCCTGCGAGCCAGCAGCGTCTGGAAGCGGGCCGTGGCAAAGGCTGCAGATCGGGAGCAGGGTCTGCCCCCGCCCTCGCAGACAGCAAGCAGGCGTCCATCTAGGCCACTAAAGCCATCTCAGCCGGGTGACCTGGCCTGAATCTGATTATGTCAGGTCCGTGATATCAGCTTCAATTAGAGGAGCTTGCAGATGGCTTTCCTCTAAGCATGCTCAGGAACAGGCTTGACATTGAGGGTTAGTGGGATACGGCCCACATAACTAGGATGATTTCCTCAGCTGCCACCGTGGCCTTGCCCCATCTGTCCTCCGCCTGAACGCTCGGGGCCGGACCTTCCCCCCCAGGTTGGAAAGCCCCAGACTTGGCGGGGGCTGCTGCAAGTTATTGCAGACATCTTACTGCACAGGTAGTTTGCCCAGGGTGTAAAGTGTCTCTCCAGCCCGTTTCGGGGCATGCGAATCTCTGCCCTTTCCCATCTGTCCTCCCCGGACTGCACATCTCTCACCCCACACCGGGCAGGCTCGCAGAAGCCACTCTTCTCCCCGCCAGCCTTCCACTGCTCTCTGCGCAAGCCCCTTCCTTCCCCAGATCCCTCCCGTGCTAGCGCCCATTGCCTGTGAGCTGGCTAAAGGGATAGGTGATAATTGTCTAACGCAGGAGGCAGCTTCATTTGGATGCAAGGTGAATTGGGGCATCCATACATGAATAGCGAGGCTGCTCCGATGTGCTGTAATTACACTGCGTTGGAGGAGACTCGTTTAATCAAGTCTGCTGGAATTACTGCGCTCCAGCGCCTTGTGTATTAGCATCCCCGTGCTTGAAAAAGACGGTGGGGGGTGCTTTATTTAAAGCTCATTCAACAAGCTCGAGATAAAATGCCCCCGCCACCATTTTGAAGTGCGGGGATGCTGATGCAGGTGTTTTCATTAGAGTAGCTCTTGGAGCCACTGTAATTAAAGCACCCCCTCCCCCCAATACTGGAGCATGTGCATAGATGCCTTTAGTTACGGGACTAGGAGCTGATGGTCACCTCGGTCTGGTGATCATGACCCAGGGGCCTTCAATGTGGGCAAACGGAGGGCGGTCCCAACCAATAGCATACACTCTTGGTGCCTGGGCAGGGCCCTCGGGGCACCGTTCGGGTCCAGCCAGGCGGTACCTGGGCTGTCTGGGCTTCTCAAGAGCGAGGCAGGCTCTGAGTTCACAGAGGGGGTTCCTGGTTCACACTTGCACACTTACGCAGACTTCCAGTGCCTAAGGACAGCTCTAAGCACTTATCCCCGTTTTTGTATCTGACCCCCAGACATTTGCAAGGAGTTCGATTTGGCAGGGGACGACATGCTCACTGGCATAAAAACATTACATGCATTCGCACCGGGCAGCTGCCACCTCTCAAAACATAGCCCTCGGCAGGAAATCATCTCTGAATAGTGTTGTGGGGCGTTAACAGGGTTCAATCCGGATCGGTTCTGAGAGAGAGGCTCTTCCACATGTTCATAAATGATCTGGAAGTACACATAGCAATCGCCGCTGATCAAATATGTTGGAGGAGCAAGATTAGCAGGTGGGTAAATAACAAGGAGAACAAGGCCGTCCTGCAGAATAACGCAGATCACTTAGGAAGCTCGACCCATGAAAATAACATGCAATTTAAGATAAGCAAGTTACAGCTCTGTGCCGAGGAACAAGGAATACGGGCCAGAGCTACAGAACGGGGGACTGCATGCTGGAAAGCAGTGACTCGGAAAGGGACTTAGGGATCACGCTATACAAACAAGTCATCGCGAGCTCCCCCTGCCAAGCCGGGACAAATGCAGTCCTGGGTTGGACAAACAAACAAGCAATGAGCATATCTGTGCCGGTCGTTTTACCACTATATCTTCCGAGCTGGCGAGACCGCTGCTGGAGCGCTACCTAGCTCTGATCGCCGCACTCCTGCAAGGAAGCTGAAAACAATAATAGCCCCACAGCAATGTGACAGCTGGAGAAAGTGCCTTGCATTGAGTCACTTAAAGAGCTCCATTTGTTTCGCTTGTCCCAGCAAGCACAGCGAAGAAGCTACATTAACGTTTTTAAAAACTTTGCAGGGAAAAAATGCCAGGAAATAAAGGTGTCTTCAGTTCAGTGGAGAGAGGCACAAGAACTAAAAAGAGGCTAGGAGCTGAAGCCAAATAGACCTATATTATAACTGCAAGGGAGGGCGAAAGCCCATGGGAATGCATTACCAAGGGAAGTGGCAGCATCTGCATCTCCTGAGACCAGTCAAGAGGGGATGCCTTTCTGGAAGAGACGTTTCAGTCAGTCCTGGGTGACCGGGCTCAGCATAGGGGAGGCTGGGACTAGGGTCAGGGTCAAGGTTAGGGTGAAAGGCAGTGGTTCAGACTAGGGGACCTAGAGTCCCTTCTGGAGGGGAGCACTTTGCATCTGTGTCTCCTGCAGAACGTGCTCCGACGTGGCAGGGAGGGGACTCCAGTCTCGCTCGCAGCCCGGGGAGCTCCCGTTAGGAGCAGAAAGCGGGAAGTGCAAGAAGGGGATAAACTGCCCGGTGCTTAGGACCATGGTGGAGATTGATTATCTCCTGGGCCCAGGTGCCCCTGCAAGTGGACAGGCTATCCTGCCACCCCGCTTGACCTAGCCGCATCGCCGCTGCATGCTCCACCGCCTTGGGGCCCCCGACTGCTGCCGTCGCCAGGGCCCGAGGGCTGGAAGGCAGACATCATCCAGAAGTATTCAGCCGGGATCCCTGTTTCGTGCTGTTGGATTTTAAACCCTGGCCACGGAGGGTGTAAAAGGCAGATGTAAGCAGGCAGCAGGAAGCCCCTCTGTGCTAGCAGTCACCACGGGGTCTGTGTCTTTCCAGCAGAGAGGTAGATGCCGCATCCACTGGGGTGTTTATGGCCAGGAAGGACAAAGCACCAGAGACGGGAGCACAGAAAACAGGCCCCCAGTGCCCCCGGCTGCGCAGAGACAAGATTGAGACGGGGCTTCGTGAAGCAGCTTTTCCCGTGCTGGGGATTTCCAAGGTGTTGAGAAACCAAAGAGCTTTTCCCGGCCCGCGTGAGCCCAGTCGGATTCTCACAGCCCCAAGCGATGCTCTCCAGTGCCCCCAGGTAATCCCCATGCAAGGGGAGATGCACACACCACCGATCCCTGCCTTTTGGCTGATTTGTTCCCATGTTAACCCCTTTGATCCTCTCCCACGTCTGCAATGCCAAGCGAGTCCTTCCTTCACTGTGGCAAGCGCCTGCCGCCCAGCGCTCGGCCCTGTACGGCCCGCAGTATCCCCGACGGCCAGCCCGGCCCTTCGTCGCAGACGCGCTGCAATCCTGCAGCAGCTCAACGCGCTGAA